CATAGATGAACTCGTCAGTCACACAGCGGTCTGCCAAGAGCAGCTTCTACTCAGTCCCAGCTGCTAGCAACCAAATACCCTGTGCCGCTGGTACCTGCTCCCGTCGCCACACCACCCAACGCCGCCAGACCTTTGTCTGGCAAAGAGTAGACTTAGAGTGCCGTTGGGGGTGCACAAGTCCCAACAGCACTTCTTCATTGCGAGAGGGTGGAATCCAGTGGTAAAGTAGGCCTCGGCAAGGTAAGGTTAAAGGTAAAAGGTAAAAACAACGAGCCTACCTTTACCCTACCTTTTACCCTTCAGCAGATAAGGTAAAAGGTTAAAAGCAACAAGCCTACCTTTACCCTACCTTTTACCCTTATCCCATACAAATTACCCAATTACAGGGTAATTACTGGGGTACTACACATGAAAAAGGTTTATAACAGGTAAATGCTAGGTAGAGTGCTTTATTCATATAGAATACTCTCGATTATATTCCAATTTTACACGCTTTCTTTAAACTCACTGTTGTCGTTGTATCCTCACATCTTGTAACTAAATTTTAACCCACTTCCCAATGTGGTTTCGACTGCAAACTTGGTATACTTATGTCATACTTATGACAATATATTCTATCATTAAAAATAAAATAAAAATATTTTTAAACATTCTTTTTTATATGTTATGTTTCGGCTTGGGTCGAACTGTCCACGGTCAACTTACATTGGCCTGGAGTCGTGGAGTTCTGCCATTACTCGTAGATTTCATAAAAGCATGTTTTTAAAAAAGTTTAAGAAATATATTACTTATTCTTAGTTTTTTCGGTAAAGTCACGTTGAAAAGAAACAACAAAATAACAAAATATATATAAAACAATAAAAATTCTCACGACGTTTCGACCATAACTCAAACGGTCATCATCAGGTGTGTCGGTTTGCATAAATTTATTTTGAAAACGGCATATTTATTTATTTATATAAAATAACGTTTGCGTCACGCGCAACGATTGGCTGTTTGCCAGGACTAGTCCATCTATTTTTTGAAAAGAGGAGGGGGGAGACGAAATTTGTTTTTATGTATGCTGTCTGAAAGCCACTGTAAGCGTGAACAATCAATCAAGAACTGAAATGATTTATCAAATCTTTCCAATGATTGCTAAGATAGAATCCATCTTCTCGGTTGAAATTGTCTCTGTGTTTGTATATGTGGATAGCCTCATGAACGAATCTCTCATGGAAGCCAGATGGCTTACAAAGAACCTCCGTCTTGGAAAAGTCAATGGCATGTGAGCCTACTGAATTAGAACAATGATCTGCTACGGCCGAGGTGTTGGTCCTACCGTGTTTAAGGTCTGCTTTATGTTCACGAATGCGGTCCGAGATATGGCGTTTGGTTTCTCCAATGTAACCAAACGCCATATCTCGGACCGCATTCGTGAACATAAAGCAGACCTTAAACACGGTAGGACCAACACCTCGGCCGTAGCAGATCATTGTTCTAATTCAGTAGGCTCACATGCCATTGACTTTTCCAAGACGGAGGTTCTTTGTAAGCCATCTGGCTTCCATGAGAGATTCGTTCATGAGGCTATCCACATATACAAACACAGAGACAATTTCAACCGAGAAGATGGATTCTATCTTAGCAATCATTGGAAAGATTTGATAAATCATTTCAGTTCTTGATTGATTGTTCACGCTTACAGTGGCTTTCAGACAGCATACATAAAAACAAATTTCGTCTCCCCCCTCCTCTTTTCAAAAAATAGATGGACTAGTCCTGGCAAACAGCCAATCGTTGCGCGTGACGCAAACGTTATTTTATATAAATAAATAAATATGCCGTTTTCAAAATAAATTTATGCAAACCGACACACCTGATGATGACCGTTTGAGTTATGGTCGAAACGTCGTGAGAATTTTTATTGTTTTATATATATTTTGTTATTTTGTTGTTTCTCTTCAACGTGACTTTACCGAAAAAACTAAGAATATGAATTACTGCAGTCACGAAAGCTTTAAATCAAAATTTAATATATTACTTGTTAAATGGAGGCCACGGACTTCGCCACGGAGCTTTTAGCAGTAAACAATGTACCGTATTTACCGGGTAATACTTCGCGCTACATTTACCCTACCGGGTGATTCTTCCGAGCTACCTTTACCCTACCCTTTACCTTACCCCTTGGCATGTCGACACCTTTACCCTTTTACCTGGTAAAAAAGGTAAATTACCTTACCTTGCCGAGGCCTAGGCAAAGGGAGAACCCAGGACGACTGGCACTCTTCCACAGTTGTAGGAGGCTGCCGCAGCTCCAGTCTATCGGAGGACCGCGATTCGCGCGCCACCAGCACGTTGCTTTAATCTCAGGGTGTGCTCCCCTAGCCTTTGTCTTCCTAGACGTACCCACAAGGCAGTGGGAACACTGATATAGACACAAAGACAGATGCAGAGAGAGTGAAGTCAGCAATAGAAGAGAAATAAGGAGGGGACAGACCCTTGCTGAGCGAGTGACCGGAGTGCCTTATTTACTCTGAAAATGCCCCTTTCTCATTTGTAACCTTCCTGATGTTCTGATTAAATTGTAAACACGCAATCAACTGAACTGGCATGCGAATGTGGTGTGTCCACCCTTGGCTGAGGATCAACAGTGGACCTGGACACCATTCAGTGATTCCAATTTGACATGTTTCTACTTTAAGCTCAATCTTGCATAATGGACTGAGCATAGTGAACACTCCACTGTGTTTAAAGTATAACACATATACTATACAGTGAACCTATGCAAACAGATAACTAATCTTCTGCATGAAATTGCGTTTATAATCCTATAAAGCATGTGTATGTAATTTATGGTGTTTAGTTCTGTGCTATTTCTCTGTTCACCAAATGTATAGTTTTCAATCTCCAGGATACAGGTGTCGTGATATTGATGAGTCACTGTAGCGCGTTCCGCTGGGAGATTGGTAGACAATAGAATGAGGGGTAACAGCCCGTTCTACCAGCTGTACCTGTAGGCAAGGCACGGAGCCCTCTGGGGGATCCAGAGGGGTGCGGGGCCGAGGGCGGAGCCTGGCCACGCTGGACAGGATAAAAGGCGAGCTCCGAGTCACAGTTGGGGCTTCTGCGATCTGGCGTAGAACTCATCGGCGTCTTCGCCGTCTTCGCCGTCTTCGCCCTCTTCAAGCTGTGGGTCTGGCAGCATGTTGGCTGTCCCGACCCGGTATGTAGTTATCCCCTAAGGCTGTGAAGGCCGGAATAAAAGAGAGAGAGTACCTCCTACTAGTGTCTGTGAATTTGCACAATACACAGGTAAAAGTATAAAATCTATCTGCCAATAGGTGATGATGATGAAGCTCCCATTGCTGGTGTTGCTCAGGCAATGCATGGGCGCTGTTGTGTGTGGCTCTCAGCCTGGTAAGCCAAGCACAGAGCTGCTGGGATGGAAGGAGATACTTGGGCTCTCAGCCAGGAATTAGACCCCAGGCAATCGGTCACTGAACTCTATAAATGAACCCTCCACTCGAATAAGCCATTGTTACACAATGCTAAGTGGAAGACCGTTTGTATCTTTTGCTCGCTCGTTAATATGTGTGTGCTGATAACTTATCCTACTACACATACGCTTCATACGAACTGGCTATGCACAAGCATTAGGTTTCCATGTTCTTGATTTTAATATTTCCAGTTTTAACTGCGAGTCGCATCAGCAGAGAGTGGCCTGCTAAACAAATTCTGCTCTGCTACCTGATGTTACAGGCAAGATCTTCGACCAACACGTGGCTGTTTCATTGCAGCAAATTTATCAAGAAGACCCATTGGGTGACTGATCGACATGCCATTTATATTTTAATATGGAGAAGCAGACCACTGTCTGATTATTTATCCATTACCTACATGTTGTTCTACCATTGTATACAACCGAGCATGTCATGTTGTTCTACCAGTTGATCACACACACGACACGTTTAGTGTATAATGAAGGAATGTTCGTCTCCACCAAAACTGTGCGCTCGTGCACAGCAGTACTGCTCTGCAGGAGGCTCAACAGCACGCGGAAGGTGTGCGGTTGACACACGCGGAGAAGGCTCAGCTGTACACACTGGGACGTCACCTCAACCAACTCTGGGAGGCCAAGAGCCAGACGGAGGCGCTCATTCAGCAGACTGGGTTAGCAGAGTCTTCAAGCCGTAACAGGGCAGCAGCACGACCACGAACCACGCCTCGTGGACTGGATCTCTGTTTTCGCGGTTGCTGAGCACAGGCCCAACAAGCAGCACTGTAGAATGTGTAATCGAATCGAGTTTATACATTTATTGGAGACAATGGGAGTGGATTCCTAAGTGGAGCAGTATGGAGAAAGAAGGTAAGCGATGTGGTTTGCAGTGTGGTGGTTGAACGCAGTGTGGTGGTTGAGGCGAAGTTATTCCAGAGTCCCAACACGGGTGGAGGGTTATTTCACCATCACTCACTCATCCGGCCACACACCAGGGATACCGATGAGCAAGTAACAATCCATCAATTGCAATTAAGTCTAAAAATAATAATACATTAACTAAATAGTACTTGTAAAAATGCATTATTTCTGATTCATTGACTTTGAATGTGACTGATTCAAGAAATCCCTGAAACCCTTTCGGAATGTACACGAACAAAATACCAAGAATCTTTCATTGATTTGGGGCCGTGAATGATGAAAATTCACCGAATCATGGAAGCGGTGAATCATTGTCCGTGTAGTCACCTCTAACTATAAATGTATCTCGATACTTTGCAAGACTGTTCCACCATCATGCAGGTCACGGTGCCATGCAGAGTTATCTGCGGCAGCTGCAGGATTGTATTGCCGTTAAGGTGAGGCGCTGTCTTAGTTTGACTGGTGGTGCGTTCGTGAGGAGCTTCCGGCTCTACCGGCACTGAATTGTACTGGAGAAACGCTGCAGCGTTCCACAGCAGCTGCTGCTCCTCCTGCTCCAGCGAGGTGCGGCAGGTGTAGCTAACATTAGTTTCACTCCATGGAGTCGCATAGTAAGATCACTTGGTCAACATTGCCAAGTGACTACGTGTAGAGTCGTGCTATAACGATGACCTGGAAGATTTAGGCGGCTGTTGCAGCGAGGCGCTGTAGCTGCTGTGGTTGTCGTGAAACCGTGACGTGTGAGTGAGGATGTCCCAGCTTACCGCCGCTGCTGCTGCCGCTGCCGTGTTGCCAGAGAGGAGCTGCGAGGGAGCCGGCTGAGGGAGCTCCGCAGGGAGCAGCAGATAACGCAGCAACAAATGCGGCAAGCGGCGGACACCACCAACACGTGAGGAGGAGTTCCTTGGGAGCCACCCGGCGTCCCGCAGGCGCCGCGAGTCCCACCTCGCCAGAGCGCTCGGCATCGTCTGATGAGTATCGCCGTTGGTAGACCATGAAACACATCAGGTGTCAAGGTGTCGCTCTCCCGAGGAAGAGTTTTTGTTTGTCTCGGTGGGCTCCAACAGGAAGACGCAGAGCACAAAGCGGGATTCCGTGAGTCTCACTGGTGGCGAACGGACGCGTGAGTAACAGTCGGCTATGGCATCCTGAAGTACCACAGCGAGACAGACCATGACAGGTTGGAAAAAACTAACAGAGCATGCACCATCGGTCAACCTTCATTTCTATCATTTTGAGCATAGAAATATTTCAAATGTGGAAATTAAATGATATAGCGGCATGATGTCATAGGATTTTTCTTTTCGTGCACAACTTGCAAAAGCTCGTGTAATTTCGACCCATATTGTGATGTAAATTTATTTAGACCTTATAAAAGTAGTTATTGCAACATTTACTCTCGATTGTGAGCAGGCCACTGGTCAGGAGGTGAAAACCCATCCGTTTAGACCCAGTGAAGCAGAGGGAGGAGGCCCCGTGCTGGAGGAAAAGCCAAAGGGCCAACGCAGACTGGGGCTGACGGTTCAGGGCCACTCCTTTTCCAGCAAGCCCAACGTCATAGCCTTCAAGGTAGGCATCCCAGTGATACTGTGCAGGCCACCTGTTGGCCTTGCCACACACAGCATTTTCCAGGTCCTAATCAAGCCACAAAGGATGGCTCGGCTCTGCTGTTGGCACTCGTGGTGCGCAGTGAAGGGTGATTGATGCTTGCTTACCCGGCTCGTGATACGCGTTTTATTTTCCACACACGTTTACATGAGTGCTTTAAACTATACATATCATGGCCTGTTTGTAGCCTTTTTTGCCTGTTTTGAAACTGTGCAATGCCTTGTTTCTTAAACACAAGCCACAATTATTTGCCTTCTTACTTATTTATGTTCTGAAGGGCAATTGCTCAAATGTTGGCTCATTATTTGTTATTTAAAAATGCAGTATTTACTATTAATGGCAGTGGTATTTTTCTAGCCTGTTCTGAATGTAAGTCCGATCTGCTTATTCTTTGGGTCTTTCGGTAAAGCCACGTAGATATAAATAATAATAGATGAATTCCTGCAGTCACGAAAGCTTTAAGTCCAATGTACTTATTTACTGCAGAAGTATATCACCCCTAGGTTGCGTGTGCTTTTGAGCAGCACACAACCCAATGCTAGGACATTACCTACAAATGGTTACATTTGGATTACACGAAGCAGCATTGCACCCTCCTGCGATAACTTAGCAGGACCCTCCTGAAAAAAAGTCTTGGGACTCGGTTAATCTTTCCTGGGTAAACAAGCGATATCATAATTTAGAGGTATGACTCTGGTCACGCATATCAAATAGATACAATTACCACGTGACTATTTTCTGTATTAAACACTATTCTTATGTTGCTCTCTTCCCAGAATTTTGATGTTGGGAAAATATACAAGTTGAAAGTGGTTCTGACCAACGTGTCCTACACCAGCAACTTCTGCCGCTACAAGGGCATGAGCGAACATCTGGAGGACTCCGTCAGTGTGCGGTTCGTAAAGCCAGAGGCACCTTCCCGTGCGGAGGTCAAGAGAGCACTGTGCCTGTGTTCACGCTCTCAGTGTGAATGCAGCAGTCACAGCCTGATCATCTTCTCCATTCCTGGCAGTTACTTTTAATTACAACCAGGTGGGAGCTCATCAGTGTTTAATCATTACTGGGAATTATGATGAGAAGATGTTGGAGGGAGATGTGACCAAGATGATTCTACAAAGGAAAATGAAAGGGGAAAAAAGAGGGGAAGAGGAAGGGAAGAGTCGGTGGGAGAATGTGACCAATTGGATGGAACTGTCCGCGAGAGACTGTGAAGACGTAACACGTGGAGGGCAGCTGCCTTGGGCATCGACCCTCTATTATGAGGACGACACGAGATAGGTCGCTCATAGAGACTGCACGTTTACTGTGCAAGGAAAACATGGGTGCAAATAGAATTGCCGTTTAAGTCTAAATCGCAAATCCGAAGCTAGCAGGCAGTGTTATGTAAGTAAAGCTTATCAAGCAAGCAAATAATGAGATGCTAATTTCAAGAATAATACACAACCCTGCTGAATATTTAAAACCAGACTGGATGCCGTGCAATACGTGTAACGTGTGCCCCACCAGGTTCAAGCCTCCGGGACAGATGTCTGCAGGAATGTCCTTTGAGCTGATGGTTACTTTCGAGGCGACAGTGAGTGCCAGCAACCACACAGGGAGGGGTTCTGACAGCGCAGGAGCAGTCGGCTCTCGGCGTGTCCATCACTCCGCGAGTCATCCTCACTCTCACAGGTTGTTGGTGGAGCGTTCCTTCACCTGGGGAGAACGACTCCGACCACAGGGATCAGGCTCCCAAGGGGGCTTTGTTTCACATGCTCATTCAGCTGGCAGAACAAGACCATATTTACCGTTCGCTGGGAGGACAAATAGATGTTTTGGCCAATTAGCATTCTTCCAAAAACAAGACAAGTCCGTTGAAAGTTCTTCAGGAAAGGAAGACAGCTGGCGGAAATGTTTAGACTTTAAATTATTGTTAGTGATGGCCAAGCAAGCAAATAATGAGATGCTAATTTCAAGAATAATACACAACCCTGCTGGCCAAGACCCTGTTGTTATTTTCAATGAGTCCTGTTACTCTATTCAGATTACACACATTTGTAATTTATAGTAATTATAATCACGGTGAATCCTATGCAGTGCGTTCATTACTTGTCACTGATTAAAATATTGCATGAACAAAGGCTCCTATTCCATAATTAGTGCTGTTTTTCAACAAAGACATCAGTAGGGCTGTTCCTTTAATAATATAAATGTTGGTGCATTTATATTGGACCATTATAAAGTCACAAATGATTGAGCACACACTGAAATACTTCACCACCATGGTCATTAACAAACACTGCCTGACTTTATTTTCCATCTATGAGGCAGTGTTTGTTAATGACGATGGTGGGAAAGTATTTTCAGCCTACGCCAAACTGGTCCATGAAATGTTACAAACGATTGCCTCTCTTGAACAGAAAAACGAGGACCTGAATGGAGAGCTGCAGTTTGCAGCTCAGAGCGGACCCTTCACAGTGCCAGTGCAGTGCACAACTAAGAAATGTGACGTGAGTACAGCGCAAGGCTCCGCTAAGGGAAGACCATGGCTGACGGGGATCTGCGATACAGCACGGGCTGAAGGAATGATGATGATGATAGACGTGGTGTCTGCTTCCAGTAGGCACTTATACCGGCGATGGCACTGTGTGCGTGTATTGTGCAGGTGACGGTGGACAGGTCCAAGATTGACTTTGGCACCCACGTGGTCGGAGAGACCATAAGGAGGACCTTCACGTTGGTGAACCGAGGTGCTCTCGGGACCAGGTTCCGTTTCGTGAAGGCAGACTATAAAGAGGCACAACAGGTCCGGGCAGCACCACGTGGGTGTGTGGCAGTGCCAGCTCACAGCAAGGCCCTGAAAGCACACGCACTCCCGTAGGGCTGTTGTCTACATCAGGCTAGCCACAGATACCTGTGGTTGTGATCAATGTTGCCATATGTACACAGGAGTGGTTGGCATGACAGCTGCTGTGGGTCTGTGAGGGATCCGGGGAGGGTCCTGGGGGTCCAGTGTGGGTCTGGGGGGTGGGGGTTGCCAGTGTGGGTCCTTGGTGCATCTTGGGGGGGTCTGAGGTAGCACCGTTCTTTCAAACACCTTTAAAGTGGCTTTAAAATATTCACCCACTCACATACCTATTCACTTACCCACTTATCTATTCACCCTGTCTCTGTGTCTCTCTGCCCGCTATAAATGAACTCACCAACAAGCACGGAAAGGACTGCACTGACGCGGAGCCTATGTCCACCGCGTCTTATTTCCCCTTACCACTCGGCCCTACAACAACAACAAGCGCAGTTCCAAACTTGGTGGCGGTGACACCACACAGCGCTTGTGCAGGCGAGGTGCACTCTCGTGTCACGTGAAATGTGGAAGGCTCCGCTGGCAAGCCACGGACCCGACCCAGGTGCCATGAATTGACCGAGAGGACCGGCAGATTCACAACATATTCTCTCCACTGCTGAATTCTATTCACCCAGCACTCCGGTCGTTGATGTCAGCATCGCTCCTCCGCAGTTATTGGAGGACAGCTGTCTCCAACTGCTTTGTAGTCTAAAGTAGCGTCCTTCACGAACTTCTTCCTCCACACTAGTTACGGTCATCGGCAAGTCATCAGGTATCCGCATCTGTCATGGTTTGTGCGGATGCGGTTCAGGGTGGACCACGAATCCGCATCCACTGATGCACAAATGTAAACTTAACTCTCCAGTAATAGTGTGACTGTCCTCCAAAACAGACCGTACAACATTACAATGACACGATGCCGAATCACAAATACGAAGGAGACATCACAGTGATACACTCCGCTACTCCTGACACAGTTATCTGGCTTGACCACCTGAATGTGAAATTGTAGTTGTTGCTCTACATCTACATCAGCAGCCATACGAAAGAAGATCCGCACGTCGACTCCGCTCCACATCCTCCTCAAGCCCGGACCGCGCCCGTTCAGCCCCTCTTTCTATCCAATCAAACAGAAGCTGCTTCGTTATGGTTCGGTTGTGTATTTTATAACTTTAATATCCATAAGAGGTGTTTGGGTTAGATCGCGTAAATGTGAATGTGTCGTTCAACCCGCCAGCACCCAACAGCCAATGAGTAAGGTTTGTCACATAAACGAAACGTGTCAATTCGTTACTGTACAGCACTAACCAGTGTTGGAGAATAAAACCACAACATTTACAATTCGAGTACGACGTTTCGCCAGTAATTAGAACTAGTATCATCAGGCGACAGCCAGAGTTTTGGAGAAATCCTGTTTCGGTCTTACAGGGATAAATGTGAAGCCGTCACTTACTCATTGGCATTTTCGGTAAAGTCACGTGTGTAGAAATACAATAAAATGATATTTTAAAAAAACAATCACGACGTTTCGATCACAACACAAGCGATCTTTATCAGGTGTCAAGAACAAATCACAGAGGTAAATACAACAAAAAGATGAGAGACGAGAATTCAACAAACCTGAAAAAACATTATGTGAAGCACATCCAGTCAGGCAAACAACACAGTTAGACACTTCCTGGCAGACCACGAATTTCAGAAGTGTTAAATTTCGTGTTCAACCTTTGGATTGCACATACCAGCATAGATAGAATGAAAAATACGAGGTACACGGTCAGTAGAAATACATATACAAGTCCACCAAGAGGTAAGGAGGGAGGAAAGATGGACAGGGAGGCAGATAGAGAGAGGGGGGGGGCGGAGGGATGAACAGAAGCTTAAATAGGAAAAACGGTTGGAGGGGGGGAGGGGCCAGAGCGAGAGCGGCAGCTCAAACACGAACATCTTACACATGCAAAACGGCAGCTCAAAAAAGGATCACCCCTTGTAAATACAAAACGGCAGCTCAAAAAAGGACCACCTCTTGTAAATACAAAACGGCAGCTCAAAAAAGGACCACCTCTTGTAAATACAAAACGGCAGCTCAAAAAATGACCACCTCTTGTAAATACAAAACGGCAGCTCAAAAAAGGGCACATCTTACACTTAATTACAATGGTAACTTCTAACTGTGTTGTTTGCCTGACTGGATGTGCTTCACATGTTTTTTCAGGTTTGTTGAATTCTCGTCTCTCATCTTTTTTTTGTATTTACCTCCGTGATTTGTTCTTGACACCCGATGAAGATCGCTTGCGTTGTGATCGAAACGTCGTGATTGTTTTTTTTAAATGTAATTTTATTGCATTTCTACATGCGTGACTGTACCAAAAAAAAAACAATGAGTAATTTTATGCAGTCACGAAAGCTTTAATACTTTAAGCCGTCACTTGTGAGCCAATCAGGTGCGAAGGCCGGAGAGGGGGTGGGGGTCATGTATCGATACAGATTGCAATGGATATCAATTACAGGTCGGGTTCGTCATCGGGTACTCAACATCCAGTATGCATGCATGTATATTCTGCCGTTGTTGGGTGCAAGAAATCGCAATACCTTTTTGTCTGCTCACTGTTAATCACTGTCAGCATATGGTAGGGCCTGTATAGGCGCATGCAGTTAAATAGGCATGCAGTTGTATAAGCTGTAGTACTGAATATAACCACGAGATGGCAACATGTAGCCATGTACTGTATTGTCTCAGCTTAGGAGTTATATCTTGATTTGAAGCTTTCGTGACTGCAGGAATCCATACTCTTTGGTCCTTTCGGTAAAGTCACGTAGAAAATACAAAATATATTTTTTTAATTATTTTCATTTTTTATCTACGTGACTTTACCGAAAGAACCAATAATACTTAGGAGTTATGGTTTAGTGAAGATGTAGGGCGCACCTAAAGTTCGTGTTAAAAGGGCCCCTGCGAGGGAAATAGCCTCTCTCTCTGCTGTCCTGCGTGGCCCAATCCCAGAGGCGAGTTATTTGCGACGAACAGCAGCGACACGGGGAGCAGAGTGGAAGTTCGTGGAGCGAACTCTGAGACTGGGAGAGAAACTGAGCTGGGTCATTGCTCATCCCGGGAAACATTTAGTACACTTCTTAATGCGCTGCAACAGGACAGAATGAATGATATATTGTGTTCGCATTCTCTATAAGCCAAACATTGAGTCCGCCTACTTTATTGAGGGCGATATTGGCATAGAAAATAAATTATGATTGAGCTATCTTGGCGTGAGTGGAGTGCAACCAACCCCCCTCTCAATATCATCAGGCCAGCCGATCCGTGAACTCGTGTGCATATATCCAGTTACCTTTCAAGTCTTGTGTAGTGCATTGCAGTCTCTAATAATGTTACGGGATGATCTTCATTGGAGAAGGGGCGTGATTAACACACAAACGTCAACAGGAGATCTCTAAAACCTCAGCCTTGGGATCTCCGTTTAAGATCCCCGTGACTCACCCGGTTTGTCCGACTGCCTTTTACGATCCTCCCGTTCCAATGCGACTTGTGGCCGATACAATCCGTGTCCGTACCGACATTCATATACAGCACTGTAGTCTCACCCTTCGCGCATGCTCATGTTCACTTATTTAGGCCTCTGTCGCCCTTGCTGTTGACTGCTTTCAGCACGTCATCGTGACCGACGTGCGTGATTTCACAACAAATGTTTGACCCGTATACAAGTTCAAGCCTGGCTTTCTTGGTTCTTTCGGTAAAGTCACGTAGAAGGGAAACAATAAAATAAGAAAAATATTAATCAATAAAATTCTCACGACGTTTCGACTGCAACACAAGCAATCATCATCAGGTGTGAAAACCACAGCAATATTTTTTTTTCAAATTTTCTTGCTGTGGTTTTCACACCTGATGATGATTGCTTGTGTTGCAGTCGAAACGTCGTGAGAATTTTATTGTTTCATATTTTTATTATGTTATTGTTTCCCTTCTACGTGACTTTACCGAAAGAACCAAGAATATAAATCCCTGCAGTCACGAAAGTTTTAAATCAAAATGAAAGCCTGGCTTTATTCATGACAATGTCAAAACTCATTTTTAGAGTATGTTTGTGTTAAACCAATCCTGTTGAAATGATGCACTCCCAGAGGGTCTTATAGCGGATGTTTTATTTTTATGCGGAGGGACAAATATGGTAAGCAGGAGTATTTATGCTTTACCATTTTTAAATCACGAGCTTTGACTTCCTGTGCGAAGAATTCGTGAATTCAGTTGAAAACAGTAAAATGTTCACATTTATTTTACATATTTCTAAACACAATTGTGTGACCTCTATGAGGACCATCCAGCATCTCTTCTCAAAGACCAATTTAAAATATATTTTTAACACCGTTGCTGAGAACAGGCCCAAAGCGTCAAGTGACCAGCAACAAACATCACTATCAAAGTTATACTAGATGACAGTTTACATGTTTCTTGAATTATGCGAGGTTATAAGATCTTGCGAAAAGAGGCAATGGAAGGCAATTGCAAAGTGAATAGATAAATATGATGAGACAGAGCAGTGTTGTGTGCTGCAGTGTGGTGATCGTACACAGTGTGGATGAGACTAAAGACTGGTTGACAGATTATATTCGATTTCAATGTGTGAACGTGTTTGATTAATTTGAAAATATATAATTCCAGCTGTACAAACACAACAGAACCTCGTTCACATGAAGTAGCAATATCTAACACATTGTCAGTCTAAGTCTTTGTTTCTTGTGCTTAAATGTGTAATTTCCAAACTAAACATGATCTTAAAAGCTTTTCTGAACGGGCGATTAAATGACGCATACAAAAGTGGGTTTATCGTAGAATTAATGTAGCCAAGCCACACTACAATATTCCAAACCAGAGGATCTGTCTGAAAATCATTAACTGGGTCAATTAAACTCGCTACAAAATTTGGTAACCAAAAAAACAGAAAACCGCCCATGATGATACCCAGGGTCTTTGTAGCGTTGTGCTCTCGCTTCATCAGGGCCCACTGGTTCTGCCTCTCATCCCGGTTTAACTGCAGGGCAACACTGGCAGCACTGACTTGCCGTGCCTGCCTGCGTGCCACCCTATAGATCTTGACATACGTCGTTATCATTATTGCCATTGGAGTTATAAACGCGCAGCATGTGTCCACATAGGCAAACCATACATTCTTGACGATGGCACAGGTATCTGCACAGATACGACTCTGTACCATTTCCTCTATGCCAATGATGTTCCAGCTCAATAAGAACGGAGCAAAGTATACCAATGGACAAGTCCAGCAAAGAATTAACATGAACGCCACGGTATTGTTGGTTACTCTTGAAGTGTAATGCAGTGGGTCGCATATTGCAACGTAACGATCAAACGCTACGCAGCTTAGGTGGAGGATGGATACGGTTGAGAAAATGTAATCCAATGAACAATGTAACTTGCATAATAATTTCCCATAAAACCAGCAACTATGCACTGTGCGCATCATGCTAAAGGGCATGACAACCAAGCCGACGAGCAGGTCTGCTGCAGCCAACGATAACGTCAAACTGTTGGTGTGGCTCTGCAATTGCTTAAAATATATTATAGAAGCGATAACAAGCATATTGCCTAATATTGTTGAAATAATAAAAAATAACAAAACTCCTTGCACCACTAAACCGTGTGTATAGGATAAATGTGGTGTAGTACAATTTAAATTGTAATACGTGATGATACATTTGATCAATGTGCTGTTCATTTCAGAATTATTAACCACTTTTGCTGCAACTAACAAATTGACTTGGTGTTGTATCACGCAATGTACTCAAGTATTGTAGTGTTAAATTTTACTGGGCAATATAATGTATTAATTTCAACTGCTGACAATTAAAATAAAATAAAAATAACAATTGGGGTATTTGATTTCATTGCTATGGCTTCACGTTCAACTGTCTATCACTGTACCCGCTCAATGTTACATATGTTTTGTATTTTACTTGCAAGCCATATTTCACTTGTAAGCCATATATTCATCTTCAATATATACAAAAAAAATCTGAAACGCAAAAGGAAAAAGATTAACAACATTTGCATTACTATCCACAAACTTCCAGGTTTTTACATTTTTACATAAAGGTGATCATTAATTCAGCCACATTCATTAACAGTACCCATAACACAGGTTGGAACCTCTGCTGTAGATTCTCTAGGGTTGAGAATCTATAGAATCTATCACATGCAATACATCCTTGGTACATTTTGAGCAATTATTCTGATACCTTATAACAAAATGAGGTGTAAATTTTGATTTAAAGCTTTCGTGACTGCAGTAATTCATATTCTTAGTTTTTTCGGTAAAGTCACGTTGAAGAGAAACAACAAAATAACAAAATATATATAAAACAATAAAAATTCTCACGACGTTTCGACCATAACTCAAACGGTCATCATCAGGTGTGTCGGTTTGCATAAATTTATTTTGAAAACGGCATATTTATTTATTTATATAAAATAACGTTTGCGTCACGCGCAACGATTGGCTGTTTGCCAGGACTAGTCCATCTATTTTTTGAAAAGAGGAGGGGGGAGACGAAATTTGTTTTTATGTATGCTGTCTGAAAGCCACTGTAAGCGTGAACAATCAATCAAGAACTGAAATGATTTATCAAATCTTTCCAATGATTGCTAAGATAGAATCCATCTTCTCGGTGGAAATTGTCTCTGTGTTTGTATATGTGGATAGCCTCATGAACGAATCTCTCATGGAAGCCAGATGGCTTACAAAGAACCTCCGTCTTGGAAAAGTCAATGGCATGTGAGCCTACTGAATTAGAACAATGATCTGCTACGGCCGAGGTGTTGGTCCTACCGTGTTTAAGGTCTGCTTTATGTTCACGAATGCGGTCCGAGATATGGCGTTTGGTTTCTCCGATGTAACTACTACCACAGAGGCAACTTAGTTTGTAGACACCAGGGTATTGTATGTCCGGAATCACATCTTTTACAGACGGAACCAGATCACGGATTTTATGTAATGTGTTGAAACGGACCTGGATCTTGTGTTTATTCAAGATTTTGGAGATCTTTTTTGTGATCCCAGCAATGTAGGGTAAAGTGATGGTTTTGAAAGGCTCCTCAAGAGGGTTCTTCTTCATGGTTTGAGTGATAGCTTTGCGGATTGTATAGTCGGAGTAACCATTAGCCCTAAGAGCTTGGTGTACGTGCTTGAGTTCACTGCTTATGTGTTCCTGGTCGGATATGCATTGGGCTCTATGATACAGAGTCTTGATGAGAGAATTCTTCTGTGATGGATGGTGGTGGGAATCCGGTTTCAGATAAGCATCCGTATGGGTAGCTTTCCTGTAGACAGAGTGGCTCATTGAACCATCAGGTCTCTTTTTAATTAGGACATCCAAAAAAGGTATCTTGCCATCTATTTCGACTTCCATGGTAAATCTGATGGCTGGGTGTATGGAATTGATGTGGTCGAAGAATTGGTCTAGAGCAGGCCGGCCATGTGGCCAGATGACAAAAGTGTCATCCACGTACCTCTTCCATAAGGTTGGGCGCAGAGTGGCAGTCTGGATGGCGTCAGTCTCAAATTTCTCCATGAAAATGTTAGCTATAACTGGAGAAAGGGGGGAGCCCATTGGGGTGCCCTCAGTTTGTTTGTAGAAAGTTCCATTCCAAGTGAAGTATGTATTGGTTAAACAGTGTCTCACCAGGGGGGGTACCTCAGTGTTTAGTCCTTGATGAACCAAGTCTTCAATGATTGCAATGGTGTCAGGTACAGGAACCTTGGTGAATAAGGAAACTACATCAAAACTGACAAGCAGGTCGTCTGGGGACAGGGAAATACCCTTGATTGTTGATACCAGGTGAGTAGAATTTTGTACCGCAGAGGTGGTCTTTCCAGTGAAAGGACGCAGGATTTCAGACAAAAAACGAGCTAGTTTGTAGGTGGGGGAGCTGATAGTAGAGACTATGGGACGAAGAGGTGTATCAACTTTATGTATTTTTGGTAAGCCGTATAATCTTGCTCTCAGGGGCCTGGGTCACATCGCTGCAGACGTAGCAAGATCTGAAATCGCTGCAACCCTCAAAAACGCTAAGATGCCAGCTAGCAACCTCAGCAAAAATGAGCGTTTTGAATTATATAAATTAAAAAAGAGGAATGATATTGTAGTTCTCTCAGCTGACAAAGGCAATGCTACTGTTATCATGGATAAAATAGAATACAACAACAAAATTAAAGAATTACTCGACGATGGTAGTTATACAAAAATAAAAAGAGATCCCACCAACAGCCTCGTCACACAAACCAACAAAATAATTTCTGATTCAACCGCATTAATTGATCAATCTAAACAGTTTTCATTGAAACCTTCTGCTGCCAGGCCACCAAGATTATACGGCTTACCAAAAATACATAAAGTTGATACACCTCTTCGTCCCATAGTCTCTACTATCAGCTCCCCCACCTACAAACTAGCTCGTTTTTTGTCTGAAATCCTGCGTCCTTTCACTGGAAAGACCACCTCTGCGGTACAAAATTCTACTCACCTGGTATCAACAATCAAGGGTATTTCCCTGTCCCCAGACGACCTGCTTGTCAGTTTTGATGTAGTTTCCTTATTCACCAAGGTTCCTGTACCTGACACCATTGCAATCATTGAAGACTTGGTTCATCAAGGACTAAACACTGAGGTACCCCCCCTGGTGAGACACTGTTTAACCAATACATACTTCACTTGGAATGGAACTTTCTACAAACAAACTGAGGGCACCCCAATGGGCTCCCCCCTTTCTCCAGTTATAGCTAACATTTTCATGGAGAAATTTGAGACTGACGCCATCCAGACTGCCACTCTGCGCCCAACCTTATGGAAGAGGTACGTGGATGACACTTTTGTCATCTGGCCACATGGCCGGCCTGCTCTAGACCAATTCTTCGACCACATCAATTCCATACACCCAGCCATCAGATTTACCATGGAAGTCGAAATAGATGGCAAGATACCTTTTTTGGATGTCCTAATTAAAAAGAGACCTGATGGTTCAATGAGCCACTCTGTCTACAGGAAAGCTACCCATACGGATGCTTATCTGAAACCGGATTCCCACCACCATCCATCACAGAAGAATTCTCTCATCAAGACTCTGTATCATAGAGCCCAATGCATATCCGACCAGGAACACATAAGCAGTGAACTCAAGCACGTACACCAAGCTCTTAGGGCTAATGGTTACTCCGACTATACAATCCGCAAAGCTATCACTCAAACCATGAAGAAGAACCCTCTTGAGGAGCCTTTCAAAACCATCACTTTACCCTACATTGCTGAGATCACAAAAAAGATCTCCAAAATCTTGAATAAACACAAGATCCAGGTCCGTTTCAACACATTACATAAAATCCGTGATCTGGTTCCGTCTGTAAAAGATGTGATTCCGGACATACAATACCCTGGTGTCTACAAACTAAGTTGCCTCTGTGGTAGTAGTTACATCGGAGAAACCAAACGCCATATCTCGGACCGCATTCGTGAACATAAAGCAGACCTTAAACACGGTAGGACCAACACCTCGGCCGTAGCAGATCATTGTTCTAATTCAGTAGGCTCACATGCCATTGACTTTTCCAAGACGGAGGTTCTTTGTAAGCCATCTGGCTTCCATGAGAGATTCGTTCATGAGGCTATCCACATATACAAACACAGAGACAATTTCAACCGAGAAGATGGATTCTATCTTAGCAATCATTGGAAAGATTTGATAAATCATTTCAGTTCTTGATTGATTGTTCACGCTTACAGTGGCTTTCAGACAGCATACATAAAAACAAATTTCGTCTCCCCCCTCCTCTTTTCAAAAAATAGATGGACTAGTCCTGGCAAACAGCCAATCGTTGCGCGTGACGCAAACGTTATTTTATATAAATAAATAAATATGCCGTTTTCAAAATAAATTTATGCAAACCGACACACCTGATGATGATCGTTTGAGTTATGGTCGAAACGTCGTGAGAATTTTTATTGTTTTATATATATTTTGTTATTTTGTTGTTTCTCTTCAACGTGACTTTACCGAAAAAACTAAGAAAAATGAGGTGTGTTCATTAGTAGCTACTTTACCCTGTGAGTACGTTGTATTTCACCCCCAGGATTCAGATCTTAGATTACTTCTTCTATCAGATTTAAATTTTACTTATAGGCTCCTTATATAATCTCAGTGTCTCTTACCATTTCATTCCGATAATCTGTATTTGAATCTGTCCTAAGACAGTGATGCTGGTGATAAGGTTGATATCCTTGCCTTGATTCTGGGTGAAGAGAAATCATTGTTTGATCATTCTGAGTAAGATGTTCTCGAAAGGGTATGTACTGTACAGGTCGAGGTCAGTGATGTCGTTCGCACCAGCAATGAGGGGTTCGTCTCTTTTACAACCTTGAGGCAGCTCTAGAAATTCCACATTCCTATGACAGGGGATAATATATTCATAAGACAACCACTGATGACTTCCCAACAAAGTTGTACTCATTTAATTAACTTCAGAGGGATGAAGGACTGAGTCAAACCCCAACCAAGATGTGAACTCCTCACCTTCCAATGGCGAGCTGCTCACTCTGTCACAGAGCTGCCTGGCCGGTTATTGCATGGGTGCAGCTTTCTGGAACTTTAATCAATTCCACGTATCGATTTGTCTACTGATTACTAAAAGTGTATTGATTTAGGCTGCATCCTGTCACACATATAAACATTAACTTATTATAAACGCAGGCACTATGATATAACATATCTTAAGAAGTTATCACGTTATTTAATGATTTATTGGAGAAACTATATTGGCTTTGTATCAGCTTGCATTGCATTTTTTTAGTTAAGATATTTTACTTACATACATTCGAAAGATCGAACATCTGGTTTGCAATTGCATCCAGTGTCAATTAACACAAAGCAAACATGTAATAACACGTATACAAACATTTCAATAACGTAATCATTGGTATTATTTTGTTAACTCGGAAAACAATGAGAAATGCACTCCAACAACACATTAATTATTGCCAAATGTCTTGGATTTCAGCCATATGCAACTTCCACAAGTATCATTCCATTCGTTTTACTACGGCTGACGTTGCTGATGTAGAGCAACAACTATAAGTTTACATTGAGGTGGTTGAGCCAGATAATTGCATCCGGGGTAGTGGAGTTATTGCTGCAATGACTATATGCTGGTAAAAATGTCCAAGGTTTAAGGGATATGTACGTGCAAATATATAATCTCTAAAC